AGGTAATAAAGTGACTATATGATGTACTGAGGGCTCATCTGGCTCTCTGGTGAGGCTGCCAGCATAGTGCTTTTGCCCTGAAGGGGCTGAAAATATTTGACACCAACAACTTGATCTACTGGGATTGTGACAGCAGGTCTATATCTTTTTAGTGCAGTGTGTCAAACTGAAGAAGATAGGGAAAGTAACATGGGACAAATGTTTTGACCTCACAGCACTCTGCTGTGGTGATGAGATACAAGTGTTATCATTTTTTCTGTTAAGGCTTGCCAGCAGCAATACCTTCTGCTGTACGTATGAGTGGCCCTGTTTATGTATATGTTCTATTATATACTGGCAGAGAAAGCCATTAGTATTAATACTTCAATTCTAAAATATCAGTCTATTCCTTTCAGAAATACACAAATTATTTAGTTAATAGTAATAGCTTTTATTTTTATGGCAGATAAAGGATATGTAAACTTAAAGATTTATTTATTTTTGTAAGTAATCAAGAATCATTTGACAAGGACCTTTAGATACACTAATTGCCAGAGGGGGGAAGAAAACAAAAAAACACACATAAAACAACAACAACAACAAAGCACTGGTGCATAGTTCGCAAAGAAAATCACAATGCTGTTTCCTTGACAATACACAACACAAGCCTATCAGATAATAAGCCTTGACAATACACAACACAAGCCTATCTGATAACATGTCTTCATTCCTCTATATTCCTACTCTTCCAGAGCACTGGAAGTCAAAATTCTGCATATTTCATTGTTATTCCCACTTCAGCAGATTAAATAAAGCAGAAAAACAAACAAACAAACAAAAAGTAACATTAAATTTAAAATGCATTAATTAAAGACAGGATGTATGTGAGTACAGGCTCCTTGATGCCACTGAAGTGAAACTACTTTAAAAAGAACTACATTCATATTTTTAGTTCATATTGTAATGCCTTTATTAACTTGTAGGCGTATCAGTCAACAATAAGAAAAGGGCATTTAAGAATCTTAGTGTCTAAAAGATTTGTAATTAAGACTAATATACAAAGACAGTATGGGATGATAGATTCTGATCTATCAGAATAGATTAGGTAGATTTTGTAGATTCTGATGAAATAAATTATTTTCAGATTTTTTTCTACATCAAACGTTATTCTATTAATTTACAATAATTAATGTGATAAACTCTGAAGCCTTAATCTGCTAACAGAAGAGAGTGAGATATGCACATATCATTTGGAGAATGGTATTAAAGACAAGCATTCACAAAAGAGTAGAACTGTTTAATATTAATAAAAATATGGTTTTCTCCTTGGTTTTCTAGATACATTTATTGAGGTGGTTCTACTGTTAATTTTAGTGTGAAATAATTTGTTAATTGTGAACATAGAGCCAAACACTCTGTAATACTGACAGACTTTACATGAGACATGAATTTTTTCTTTTTTTTTTTTTTTCCCCTGCCTAAAATCATCATGAAAGCACTCAGTAAAACCGTTTGTGGTTTTCCAGCTGAAACGCTGTCAGTTTGTCATAGATCATAGAATCATAGAATATCCTGAGTTGGAAGGGACCCTTAAGGATCATCAAGTCCAACTCTTGACACTGCACAGGTCTACCCAAAAGTTCAGACCATGTGACTAAGTGCACAGTCCAATCTCTTAAATTCAGACAGGCTCTGAGAAACACCATAATAAAACATAAGCAGTAAGACACATCTCATCATTAGCAATCAATGCTAAAAAAAATCTGAAACAACAAAACAAAAACAAAACAAAAAATGAAAATTATTTGCCCCTGTTATTGAGTAACTTCTTCAGAGGTACTAAAGAAAGAACATATTCAGAAAAGGAAACTTCAAGAAACTTGAAGCCCAAGTTTAGTAGAATTTCTGTTTCTCTCAAATGACAATCCCATAATTAGATCCTATATTTGCAACTAACAACTTCTAATACAGAAAACACTAATCTCATACTCTAATAGTGAAACAATGTGTAAGCTTGCTTTTTATCACAGTGACTACTGTTATATTTCTTGATAATGTGAAAAGATACATTTTTTCTTCCCATCTAAAATGAGTTATTCTTGCTATTTACCATGTTTTCAGGTTGACATTTTATTTACATGTTGCTTCTCCCCATCTGATGCTGCACACCGATGATGGTCCTTTGAGAAAATTAAATACTCCAAAGCACTACCTCTTCTAGTGTTTTGTTGAATTTGAATTAAGATTCCCTGTAGTAAGTTGCAAAATTGTTCAAAATTGACTCTAGGCATCCTAAGAACCCTAAAGCTTCTAAGGGACTTGTTTAAAACTAAAAACTGAATATCTCCTGAAGGAAAACTACATGTCAGATTTATATTATAATGTGTTTTTGTGCTTTTTGTTCTAATTGTGTTTGAAGCCAAAATGCTAGTTGTTTTGAAAATGTTCCTGAAGTATTATTCTGTTATTATTTTCACATACAAACAAACAAACAGCATAACAAATAGAACAAGAACAATAGCTATTTGGAAAAATTGTACATCCATTAGATATATTATTTAATTATATAGTTTTATGTCACATACAAGTAATCAGCTTTAATATTTATGATTAAGCATATTAACAGGTAACATCTGATACAATTACTATAACTAAGTGTCTCATAGGACAGTGTTTTATTTTAAAATCCTTAGCTTAGCCTCAAAAAATGGATATGATTAAGAAAACTGTGTATGTCAATAAAGGGCACATAATTTTGTCAGCACATTTATACAACTACTTTTCACTTCAGTACTGTTAAAATGCTATTATTTAATGCTAATCAACACAGTGAAAGCAGCTGAGATATGAGAAGCCTAAGTGCACTGTTTTTTTTAATCAAGAATCTTCTCAAGAACATTTGTGGACATTTAAATTCTTTGATATACGCTACAGTTGAGTATTTTTCTTCTTCTGTACAGCACTAAGTTATATTAGATTCAAATATAAATGTAGAGTTATTCATTCAGGATTAGGATTTTTGACATAACAATATGAGGCTGCTGTATATTCTTAAAGGAACATACAAAGGAACAATACAAATAATAAAAGTATTGTCACAGATTCTTTTAATTGTAAAAACTCTCTCATCTTTGAGATTTAGTCCTTTGAGACTGAAAGTTGACATAGTAATTACCTTATATTAATTTAGAACTTTGTTAAAACTTTTCCCTTTTTAAGAATGACACCTGGTTACCATTTATCATAAGCTCTCTATATGTAAAGGAGACTTACATGGGCAATGGAAACTTTCATAAAACAAAGCAAACTAAACAATATATATATCTTTTAAAGTTATACCATCAGTACTTAAAGTGTCCATAGGCTTCTGAGTTGTAAAAATTACTAAAGCAACAGCTCATCAGCCTTAAGTACACATTAGATATAATTAATAGCTCATTAGGTTTTCTGGAGATTAAAAAAGGAGGTTCTGTTCTTGTTCATCATAATGAATTAGAAAGTCACATATTTCCTCCATGGCTTTCATAAGCCAAATTTGGCCCTTACATTTGTTTTAATACAACCATAAATTGATGTAGTCATTTTCATCACGAAACTTCTCCAATTACTTAGTTTCAAAGCATCCTTTTTTCACTTTCTTGTGCCTCCCTAGGTCCACTCTACACAGCTAAATCAAACAACAGGAAAGTAGTATTTATACGTATAAATATCCTGTTTAACATCATACTTGTATTAAGTTATTAAATATTTCCTCTGAAGTTCGTTTCTTGAAAGTTCAAAATTTAACAAAGCATATTTAAATACAGGAGCAGCTCCTTACAGATTGAAGGACTAAGGCAACAAACACTCAGCTGATGTGAGAGATGGAGCATTAACCACCTGAATTCTGAAGATGGTCTAGGTTTTACATGTCTTCTACACTGAGACAGCTAGCTATGACATCAAGTCTGTATATACACCTGTACCATTAAACTGTAGAAAGAGCCTCAGTTGAACATTTCTTACCTTCTACTAAGAAGGTACTCCTACTCAGTAAAGTATGGTTCACATCAGATCCAGCTCATTCACTCAAGTATGTGAGATTTAAGTATCCTCAAGTCTGAAATTGTGCCATGACAGACATAGCAGTACTATGCCAGGCTTCATTACTATGAGAAATATCATAACACTCAGACATTAAATATACAAACAAGCACAAAATCACTGCACTCAAAATTCCAGTGCTGAAATTATTGAGATTCTTGAAACAAACATTTAAATTGTAGTTCACTGAACAGATTAAAATTCTGTTCTCTTAATGTCTATGTTTCTGCACTACAGGAAACAGATGGCCTTTAACATCAATGAACCTTTGCAAAGAAAAAGGAAAGGAATTCAAATACAAATCAAGTCAATGTGCATTTTAGGTTGTCCATAACTCCTTTGAAAGCACATCTCAGTCCATTTAGAAAGGATATCTATTCTACATTCACTCACACTTAAATCCTCAATAGGAAAACAGCGGAAGAACCTTACATACCGCATATACAAGATAGACATGTGCTTCTATTGTATAGGAAAAGCTACTTCAGATGAGATCAGTTTTGGTGCTGTCACCAATATCAGTTACTTCATAGCACAGCTGGAAGACCCATAGAACAGATCATTGAAAACATTTGTAATATAAATTATGTCTTAGAGGAAAAGCATTTCAACTCATTGCATAGTAGCTGGTATTGATCCTGAAGATACTTTTTTCTTGGGCTATCAGTATTTTTTGCCGAGTTAATATAATTCAGTATGTTCTCATTTTTATTTTAACACCATCATTAACACCATCATTTAACACCTTCATTAGTACGGACAAATGTTTGAAATATAACACTTGTTACTATAGTAGACACATACAATAGTGGGAAGATTGGGTGACGTGAAAGTACTGGAATAAAAGGTCTACAAGCTTAATATATTAAGCAATTACCAGTGGGTCATATAGTCCATTGATAATTATAACTGTAATTAACTGATAGGATTTCCACACATTTTCCATGTATTTAGGTATTTATTTTGGAAATGCGAAATCATTAACATGTTAGAGACAGAAAAAGGGTTTGAACACATTTAGGTGAGTATAAGACAGCTTTTAACACTACTTATATGTGTATACATATATGGAGATAAAGAGACTCCTATCTAATTTGGAGTCTTCTATAAAATGTTTGTTATTTCACTTAATTACCTTGTCACCTTACATGCAGTTAGAATAAAGCATGATTTCTTGTGATATTACTTAAATTAAAGTACAAAATATTTCTCGTTTAGAAGCTAAGCACAATAGGAAGAAGGAAGCTTACATCCTTGTAGTTTCAAGGAAAGATCAAGACATTGTTCCTTAGTATGACTCATAACCAGGAATTCATATCTCAATTCCTGTTAGGTCACACATCTGACTCATGTCCTCTCAGGAGGTGTGGTTCAAAAGCTATCCTGAAAGTTGTAAGACACTAATTTTCAAACATTCCAAGGAGATTTCTCCTTGAAGTGACTGATAAGAATTATTTTAGCCATTACTTGCAAATATTTGCTCTCAAAGACAGAAGTCCATACTTAGGAACGTTTTAACAGCAGAAATATTGGGTAGGTACGTTTACAAAACATTTTAGGCTGATCTATATTATGTGGTATAAAGACAAGGCAAGACCTCATGGCAACTTATATAAATATATTTCTAATTAACTTAAAAATCACTTTGAATTTCTAAGAAGCACCAAACTTCTTTTTTAATATTCTCCATTAAGACAAACACAAAACACATCCAGGGACTTTGTGGTACTTAGCTGCCTGCCAGCAAGAAGCAAAACAGGGAACAAACTAATGGAAGAGCTATAATTATGTAGGGAGCAACAGATTTATATCTATGTAAAACCTGTAGAAATAGTCCTACTGCTTTTCATTTTGCTATGCTCAGAAAGTTTCCCTGAGAAACAAAACATCATCTCTCACAGCTTTAACTCTACATTTAACTCCCCGCCCTGAACAACAACTTCGTATGAAAATTCAATTCTGTAAATTAGAATCTGGCACACGCACAGGTAAACAAAGCTGCCTTAGTTGAAGTCTTCCTACTTCCAACAATCTCACATGAGGTTGTGTTTGATTTTCATTACCACAACGCAATGTGATAAAATGGAATTGTTTCTTGAAATTTAGCCTTGGTTCCTAAATAGCCAATGATGCAAGACAAGTTTAAAATCAAGTCATAGAAGAGACAGTAAAATAGTGATGACAATATTTCAACTGCACTTATGGTATGACCAATCATTTTAAGCAGCCTTTTGCAAACAGGATTTCTTTTTTAGATTACCCAGAGAAACAGTTTTCCTGAGCAAAGGCTATTTTTTATCATCTCTCTCTGCATTTGAATAAATAGGTATCTGGGCCATGAACTTCTTTGTGCTTTGTAGTACTTTGCATTCAAAGGTCAAACCAATTGATTAAAATGGCAACTAGCAAGTCCATATAATGTGGTTACATGGTGGCCCAATAGCCTCCATACGCACCTCATTAGGTCTAATTGCATTGAAGTGAACTGTAATTCACTGTTAATCTAAAACAGCTGAGAGGATAGAGTTCTTCACACGAAGTGCAGTCAGGTAAGTAATTTCAAGCATGCTTTGAGTCCCTGCAAATTACAGCAGAATTAAAAGAAAGCTTGCATATTACTGACAAAATGAAAAGGACAGCAATCAGTGGATCAGGCTGGAGAGATGGAGGCTTAATATCTAAGTGCAATACACTTTTTCCTAGCAAAAAATTCAGGTATGTACATGCATTAAACATCCATAGGCTTGATAGAATAATATTCAACCCCTTCTTTATGTGCTATAGGTCACCCCACCTTCACACCCCTATCTTCATCCTACTAAACCCCAAATATTACTGCAGAGTGAATATGCAAGAATAGTGTGAACATATGCTTAATACTCCCCTCTGTGTCATACAACAGCAACTTTATTGACAGCTATCTGGATACCTTTATGCTCTTAAAGATGACTTTCCCCAGATTAGGGGAAAAACATAAAAATCAAATCAAAATGGTAAGCAACTCCTGGAAAAAGCAACTGGGAAAGAAGTGACAAGGATTTTAATTTTAAACCCAAAATCTAGCCTTTGTAGTAGAATAAGATCATTACAGCACTTACCTTCTACATGTTTGGCTTGCAGAGCAGAATCCATGCTTGAAGGTATAATGTAAGCTGTAGTGACAGCTTGCACCTCAAGGAGTGATCTACTTTGACTGATGTAAAAAAGACAGCTAAAGAGAACATCTCCAAAACCTCACATCCAGAGAAACAAAGGCAGCTCTCAAAGGAAAAAGCTTAGATGCTTACTGCAGTTAATGTCTGATTACTGTTGTGTGTGTCAGGTTAGGGATCACAGATTAGGTGTCTTTATGCCAGGTGAATCTCATAATTTAAGCCCTTCCTCTGTCTAACCTCTTAAATCTAGCTTTGCATGCCTAAAACAGACAAAACAAGTTAAAAAGTCAAATGCTATCACAGTCACCAATTCTATGCAAGACAAAAACAAAACAACAAGTTTAAACATGTAAAAAATTGACCAGCCTGTATATTCACAACTCGACTCCTAACTGAATTATTTGTTAAAGATTTTTTTTTTTTTTTAACCACAGTGTGGGACCCCATATCATAGAGTGGGTGTCTACTGTGCAAAAGGACAAAAACACTCAATTCCCAAACTGCACAACAAAGCATCAGACTGGAGAGAACAGGGAGATGTAAGTAGAGACAGGTACACAAAGAAAGCATGAAAGAAAGGCAACATCCATAGAACAACCCCAGCCTAATATTCCTTCTCATTTCTTTTATAGGCTTTATAACAAGACAGAATTTCAAGGATTTTAATTTAATGATGTCACCTTTTAAATGTTTTCCATAAGTTTCAAGTAAAGGGTCAACATGGAGGAAGGCAAAAAAGTGAAGACATGATAAACTTGCCAAAGTGAGAAGAAATAGTGTTATGGCAATTGAGACATAAGAGGTTAAGAACTTAGACAAGAACATGAAATGTTTTCCTAACCATCCAAAGAATCATCTGAAAGATGCTACTCATAAATGAATGACAGGACTAAGATGAAACTTAGCTATAAGGAGGTCTGAGGTGATGGCGATGGATCTGGGCCTCCATGAAAGGCCACGTGGCAGAAGATGTTTCAGGACATGGAAGAATGTCATGTACAGCTCTATCAGTCAACTCCATTAATTTAAAGGAGATCGCTACTGCAACCAAATATATCATTATGAAAGGATAGAAAAAAGTTCACAGGTGACATTCTTTAGATCTGGGATTCAGTAATTTAGAGATGGTAGCTGAATCAGTTTGCATATATGACTACTGTGCTGTTTTAAGTAAAAATTAATAAATATATATTACCAATGGTAATATAGACATTAATAATTAATAATTACAGAAATGGTCAGCACACTTACTCTTGTACTAAGGCAGAGGGTGGAGAATACTTTTTTCTACTTTCTCCACTGCTTAGTAGTTTTCCTAAAATCAGGTGAGCAAAAGATGATGCTATGCAAAATATGTCAATCAATATGTTAATTATTACAATATTACAGTGAACTTTTTAGATGCTGACCATATGTAATATCCTTCCCTTTGGAAGGGGAGATTTGGCAGATTGGTAGATAAATCAAGTTTATAACTGCTTACTCTGAAGCCATTTTCTCTTAAAGCCATAGGAAAATATTTTAATATACTATAATGCCACTATATGCCAAACAAATTGATTTTCTGCCCTACTTAGTTATTTATGATAATGACATATCACTGTATTGGTAAGACCTTCATCACTTACGATGGGATATTTCTTGCAAGAAATTTAGATGTAGAGCTCTGCATGAAACTGCAGAGATGACAGAACTTGTACTAAAAGTACCTGGTAGCTTTCTGAGCTTCATTCAATTTTAAACCTCTAAGCAAGAAAGTTAACTCCCAGACTTCATCTGATGCAGGATACAATCCTCCTCTGTCCGTGATTCTTTGCCTCAATCACACAAGTCATAAAACATCTTGAACTTTTCTCATTGCTTTCAATCAAAGTCAGCATAACTGATTTCTGATGAGATTGGTCACTCTGGAGGTCATCTGTGATGACCTGTAAAGGAAATGAAAAGGAAGAGGTGAATAGAATTCATTTCATTAGTAGTGGAAGAAAAAAAAAAAAATCGTTACCAAAGGACCGACCACTACAGTATGATGGAGGAAACAGATTCCTCCATGCAGCCCTCCTAGTATGCTTTGATCCCATTTCTTTCAACATACCATTTTCATTAATCTTTCACCTAGGAGGAGGTTTTCTTGTCCCCTCAGTTAATACATATGAGGAAAAACAACATGGTTGTACATGTTAAGAATTAACCCTGAAGAGCAGAAGCTGGTAACAGAGGGATGTTTAAATGGTTAACATTATTTTCTGAACCTACTGTTCCTTAACTCTTATTTAAATTGATGTCAATTGCATTACTTCAAAAACAAATGCAAATACAAAATTTGGTATTATGTAGAATGTGCACCCAACTGACTGAAATTGCCACCTGTCTAAACATGCTGCTACCACTGTTGCTGCATCATACTAGAGCTTCTCTGTAATTTTCCCTGTCCCAGTCTTTAGCATAAAGATGCTTTAGTTGTTAAATGCCCCTGAAGACATTAAGTAACAAAATAGCTAAATATGTAGTTACCAAGGTACTCCCCAGGTAGGATGTTCTTTGCATTAAGAACTGTGATTATAACTGCCGCATTCATGATTTCCTTTGTTGCTGATAAGCAAATTGCTAATACCCAGTAAGAATGCTTCATTAATAACTTTTTTAAATTATATATAGAATAATTACATGTTTAGACAATGAACATATGATTATATTAATATAGAATTAGCTGTTCCAGTCAATGTAGAGCATTAAAATACTATGACTAGTCACACATATGATACTATGCAAAAATAATAATTTAACTTATTTAAACTGTACTTTGTGAAAAGTGGAAACATCTTATGCACAAGCTGTGACTCTATCTGAACTGTGCATTGAAGTGAATCACATCTCTCTTGCTTCCTATTGAGTCTCAGGAATTCAGAAACTTCCTGAGTGAAGTTCTAGACTTCACTAAGTTGACTTTTTGGCCAACATTCAAGGTCAATTTCTGGCCTGTCTACACTTCAGAATCCCCATCTCTTCACCTGTTTCTTTAACACCTTAATTTCACTTTGAAGGTTTGTTTTAAAGCTAGGAAAATCTATATGATATTTGACTAATGAAGTTTTGATCAGACCCAGAAGTTTACATACACTCTATAGTTGAGTACTCTGCACTCATATGTAGAGAAGGCTGTTGTAACACATAAATAACACCCACACAAAATTAATAATACAAAAATATTGAGAGAGTGTTTATATATTAATAGAAAATACTGCAGTGTCCTAAAGACAAAGAAATGCATGATTGGTTTGTGATTTACTTGCAAGTGCCTGCTTTTTAATGTCAAAGGTAAATCTTTAATTTCTTTCCTTTTTCTGGGACAAGTTACAATTGTAATATCTTTTATTTTTCCTTTTCTTCCCTTAATATTAAAGAAAAAATACCGCTGAAATATCACTTGATTGATTGTAATGGCCAGCTGTTACAATCTCAATGGAAGTATAAGAACTGCTGCCTAAGGTGCACTGAAGAGTGCCAAGCCTCATAGCAACTCAGCTCATCCTAAAAAGCACCATAGTCTGGAGTGAAAACTGCAATTTTAAATTCTCCTAGAGACCCATTATTTGCAAACCATTGACACAAACAGCTCCAGTCCCCCCATCATTGTATACCTGGGGAGCTCTTCATCCACAGAGCCCTGCATGCTCAATAACTTTACATACTACAAGTCCTTATGAAATTTTGGCTAAAGAGGTATTCTTATATATGTGAAATGTTTTTTTCTCTGTCATCTAAAAAGATAATAAATATATTAAAATCTACACTCAGTCCACCTTGATTTAGGATGTTTTCATTATAGAAAACAAGCTTCGTATCCAAAAAACGTATTAAAAATACGAAATCTAAGACAACTCTCCCTAGATTTCTAAGGTAGCTTTAAATAATATCTTAACACATATTTTAAATGGTTGGAATTAACGGAATGAATTTAGAAATTTGGACCTTCCCTGAAATTTTCATCCCAAAGGATGTTTTTAAGTTGAGCTAGAAATCCTTGAGAAAAGGGATATACATGTAAACTCTGAAACATACTGCTCTACAATGGAACCTGATATATGAGTGTCTATCATTTATACTAACCTTCTGTACAACTTATAAACAAACAAGAAACAGTAACAAAACACACAGACCAAAAAACAAAACAAAACAAAAAAACTTTTTAAGGACAGATTTAACTTAATCTGATTAATTGATGATAACAAAAATTTGCCATAAGCAGCTGATACTCAAGACCATCAGCAATTAGACTAGTCAATGTTCAGTATATTGAACATCTTGTTTTTTTAACCTAGCTTTTGTATTGAGTTTTTAAGTGTCTGCCTCTCTAGTTTATGCAAAATTAAAACAAATAAGCAAAAGAAGTATTGATATATCATTACCTTTAAATTTACAGAAAGAATTCAAGATGGAGAAATTGAAGAAATTTGTTACTTTGTAAACTACAATTGTACTCTTCACAGTTCTACTCAAAGATATTTTTATTGAAATATCTTTGCTAAATATCCCAAATATCATATTTACTACATCAATTAATGGGATTTTTTAATTTATTTTCTTTCAGTTTTATGGGGTTTTGCTGCTCCCTTCTGCCTTATATTGGGGAAAAATAGTTCAGCTTTATACCATATGAGTATTTTAATTCTTATTTTTACCTACTCTTTCTTTCCAAAAAAAGTGAATAGTGAAATACACTAGACTTATTCAGACTCTGGTACATCAGAAGTGGAAGTATAGGCTTCTGCAACATACCCCAGAGTTAAACTCAATTATGCTAATGAACCAGGCAAATATTACCTTCTGGTGTACATAACAAAATCTTATAACATCACATATTATGTTATTACATATTGCGTGAGTAATTCACCTATCCATTGCAATGGTTTAGCATTCCCAGTGGATCTTGGATCTACAAATGTTTTTCTTTATATTTACCAAGGTTTTTTTTGTTTGTTTGTTTTTTTGTTGTCTTATCATTTGCACTTTATCTTCTGAATGTTTTCCTAATAGAAGAAATGCTGGAGGAAGGGGAACGTATTGCAAAGAATCAATAGCTTTATTCATATTCACTGACACTCCAATTGCTGACTTCTTTACAGGGAAATTGGCTCTTTTTCCCTACGATTAGAAACTTCTCATACTATCAGCCAAGGCTGTTCCAAGCAAATCTGAGAATGAGCAGGAAAGGTGGAAATATACCAACTACTCGATGGCAAATAACAAATGATAAGAGAAACAAAAACTCACACAGAGACAAAACATTTCAGCCAAATCCAAATACACATTGCAAATATGGGATTGCATATGCACGCACTCTGTAGCAGTTGCAGCTGCAGCTGTAGCAAAATACCTACTAAAATCCAACTGTGAACAAGTATTAACAGGCTCATTGCATCAATCCCATGGCAAAAGTGACACTGAGACATGAAGTGGTTGCTAATTATCCACCAGCCATTAATATATCTCCTGCTGCTGAATCCTATCTCCTAACATTCCATCTGCGATGCTTTTTTACCTTATTTCCAATTCAGCTACTGAAAATTTCATATGTAAGATATATTTCTCGGTCAAAGCAAAATGCAGCTCTGAGGAGCCTTCAATCCATGGAATCATGTAACACAATAGGAAAAATATTCATTGTAAATCCTTAGCAAATATTTTCATCAAAAGATTTCAGATGACAGCATGAAGCCTTGCAGTTGTTTTTTCTGATTTTTTTTTTTGTTGTTTGTTTTTGTGACAGAACAAGAGAGGTCTTGTGAAATTATCAACAAAAGGAACTTTTCCTTGGGAAAACCACTTTTTCCACGATAGAAATATTTCAAAACTATTATGTTTGATATTTATTCTCTAAGGATGAATCAAAAATATTTATTTATTTTTGTATACACACACAAACAAGTATTTACTTGTAACATATAAAACATGTTGTTAACAACAGGTAAGTTTCTTGTAGCTTAAAATATTTGTTGATACTTAATAGATTTTGCACAACATATTTAACATCTGTGCTGTGCTGGGAAAACAAAATAAATATTAATCTCTTACACCAATTAATTTGCTCAACAGTCAGCCACTGCTAAATGGGCTTTTGCACAGGTTTACAACACCATGTCTAATGAAATGGCACCCTCAGTAACCCATACACAGAAAATATGCGAGTGATGATATAGGCTTTCCTTAAGGTTTTCTTGGAGCAAATGGAACGATACCTCAGCTTCAAGGTACAGACAGAATGCAAGCGTTTCTGATCTGCATGGTCAAAATGGAACTGAGGCCCAGTTAATAATTAGCAGGGAGATTAAATCAGAGTTCAGAGACAAATGGGGTGAACTTCATCAGTTTGCTTTTTCAGAACTGCAAGTGTGCTACAGCTAGAGGCCTGCTACATGAAGAAAAGACTGAGCAGATGTTAGCATATGTAGTCCTTTTAAAGCTAACACATATTCTATGCAGCATTTTTTTTTTTTACAAATTCACACTGTCATATTGTGTACTCCAAATTACAGTTCACATTTTATATTGTTTATATTTGCATTGCTCATATTTGTATTATTGGAAATATTATGGTGGAATACAGTGTTTTTTGTAAAAACACAATTTAGTTTTTATCAATACTTTCCACTCCTCTAATTTCAGTTCAGACCATTTGTTTAAAACTATTGCCAAGTCATTCACCTTCCATACCTTTCCTACTCGTGTTTCCCATACCTCCAGTAGTCAGTCATCTTGTTTCTTGGGAAACTTCCCTTATCTGTCTCCAAATTTCTTAATACTACTCTTCCTTCTTTCTTTCTTTTACATCTTTCAAAGGCCTTTTTAATATCATCCAGAATCTTGTCTTTTTTACATTAAAAATTGTGGGCCATCCCATAAACACACTAAATAGCATTAATAACCT